CACACAGCCTGCAGCCAGGTCTCCCCAGGTCAGACTTGAGGAGAACGAAACTCTGGTCTTCACTGTGGACATGCTACCAGGTGCTCCAAAGCCATGGGTGGGTCCTGAGAAGAACAAAGCTCTGGTTCTAACCCTAACCCCGTCCCTAGACTTTGACTCTGAGGCTAAACCCTGGTCCATACCCTGGTCCCTCATTCTGACCCTGATTTTGACCCTGACCCTGACCCTCTAACCATACTTCCAGGCCTGACCCTGGCCCTGACCCTGACCCTAACCCTATTATTATCATTACAATCTATCTCTAATCTTACCCTCTAGTGCTAAACAGCTGTACCCAAAGCACTTCTGGATTATTTAACTTCTTTTCCTTGAATTCTCTAAGGACATCCTAAAGGAGATGTCATTATGCATTCTGCAGACCCCCTGAGTGCTATGGCTTAAGATAAGAAGTTCTAATACTTGTGAGACAGAAGAAGTGTGGAGGGTAACAGCACTGTGTTGGCAGGAATGCATGCTGGCATTCTCAATAGTCATTGGCACGTTCTCCACATATTTTCAGTTCATTTTTTCTGAGTGCATTCTGACTGTTCCATCCCACCTACTTACATTTTTGCATGGCCACGTGACTTTTTTTTTTTTTGCCATTGGAGGTGGGAAGAAATAACATGTGACTTTTTCAGGAGAAATCTCACAGAAACAGAGTTCTATCCAGGAGGCTTATTGTCTTTTCTATAGCAATTGGGATCTTACTGATGGTACCTCCTTCAGCCTCGATTCCTGTGTTAGGACGACACAGCACAGAGCGAACTCTCACCTGACCCATGATGAGATGCAAATGAATGAGGAAGAAGAGCCACTGAAATGTGGAGGTTGTTTGTCACCGTGGTTTAACCGAGCCCCCACTGACTGATGCAGGGCTGAAGAATGAGTCAGGACTGAATCTGGACATGTGAAAGACATGTGAGGCTGAGTAAAATTCAAGTCTTGTTGCAAAGATAACAGTGATCATGAGGTGTTATTAGCATGAGTGCAGGATACGTATGGTACGTCTGGTGAGAATAATTAGCGTAAGTGTGGGATAATAAGGAACATCAGGTGAGAATAATGAGAAACTCAACGGTAAAAGACAGTGCTAATTTGGACTGTGGAGAGATTCCAATGTTCTACTTAGCATCTGAGACTGTGATGGCTGAACAAACTCATTAAGAACCCTAAATGAAGGCTTGGGATAAATATCCGAGGGTGTCTAATATACCTATTATTCATCCTAGAATGGGCAGAGTCCTTCACCCCATTCTAGGGAGACTTTCAAAAGAAAAGGGACCTGCATTTCTCCAGCAACCTACATTGAGAGACTTTCCTGCACTTCTGACCTGTGGCTAACACTCCTCACCTTTCATTCTGTGCTCAGTGTTTTGGGGAAACACCTTTAACTCTCTATGACTAACAGGTTGATAAGTGGCCCTTATAATTCCCTCCAGAGATAGAGAAGACTAATGATGAGGGAATCTGAGCTCACAACAGCAAGCGGGCACGTGTGCTCAGCAGCCACGTGGCTCATCTGCTAGATTCCTACATACGATGCTCTGCAACGTTGCTTTACACAATGGGACACTCTCCTGACTCAGAGGGTTTAATTGCTCCCCTACTTCTTTCTCTGCCCTCTTGGGCTCCTAAAATGAAAAGAACACTGGGGTGATACAGTGAGTCAAAGGAGTGCCAAATATCACAGCAAAATAAAGATTCCTAAAAACTCCCTGGCCTAAGATGACCCAGCCTTGGTTGGATAAGTCTGAATGTGCTGACAGTGGACATGGGAGCGTGAAGGTGGTCAAAATGTTCACATTAAAGAGCTTCCACACAGATTGCAAGAAAAGAGGGAGGAATGGAGATGGCAGCACGAGTCCCTAAAATAAAAGCAGATGTTTTGAGATCAGTTCTATTCATTCCGACAAGAATTAGAGACAGAAACCAAAGTTGAGCCTGAGGCGACAATTAACTGGGCAATAAGCCAGAGGCACATGTGGCATGGACAGACTGAAACATTCTCCCTTATATTAATAGAAATACTAAATTAAGATCATATAAACACTGGGGTCTACAGTAGCTTTAAAGGAGATCTCACAAACAGGTTTGGGTTTTGAAGGTTAGTACTGATGGTCTAGAGAACTCATTTTGTTCCAGAGAGAGAAAGAGGAATTTCTTGGGTCCCTTCAGGAATGCATCTGGCTTTACCTCATCTTTTATGTTTGCACTATGCATACAGCAGAAGAAAACAGGATTTCACAAATTTAAGGTGTGAAAAGTCACTGGGTGCTTTAAGAAGCCTGGGATTCTTCTGCTGGAAAAATAAGTTTGTTGAGACAAAATGAGTTAAAGAAGGTTGTTGTTGAAGAGAAGCAGAATTGCTTTTAGTAATCTGCTTATTACCCTCACCTGCACCCCCACTTTTACCCCCACCTTAACCTCTAACCCTAAACCCTAACCCCGTGACCCTGACCCTACCCCTACCCCAATCCTTCATCCTACTCTTTAGCCAACCCTTAACTCTTGACCCCAACCCCCAAACCTCAACACCAACCCTAAACTTAACCCCTACCCTTACCCCTAACCTTAACCCTTTACATCTGCCCAGATTCTCCAGCTAAAGCAGGGACCCTTGGCTCCCAGCTGAGCACCACTGCATCGGGCACAGGGCTCCATAACAGTCCCCAAATAGGCACCCGAATGCCCACTGTGCCAGCCATGCAATGGAAGCCCAGGGTGTGTTCTCACCTCCAGAACCAGGGCCCAGCATCTGCATCAGGCTGATCAGGGCTGAAGTGAGCTGGGGCACCCGAGGTCTTCATAAGACCAAGGCTATCTCGTGCCTCCTATTAGAGAGCGAGAGGCAGACCCAGCAGTACCACACTCCCCCTCCTTCCCTCCACAGCAGCTCGGCAACCTTCCAAGTAAGGGGCCTTTCCCTGATGATACCCCAAGCACAAAGCACTGGACTTTCACACAGTGAGGCTGCACACATTGTTCTGGTTAGATGCCCACCTAGGCCCCTGGGAGACAGGGTGGTAGAGGAACCCTCATGTTGCCCTGTGGCATACCCGCTCTGGTTTATACGACTGCAAGCCCTTTACGAGAAACTCAAGCTGAAACACTACTTGTTTCCAACATTTTGTCGGCCGAGGATTTACAATGTACACTTCCAAACAAGCTAGCCACAGAGCACACTGACTGCTTTCCCTCTTAGGTCACTCTGAAGGCCTCCGCATCAGTCTTAGAATTGGAAGATTGGTGGAGAAGAACTGGGATGTTGAGGGGGCACTGGATACTTGCTGGACACCAGCCTCCCCTTACCTAAGCTTACAGACAGCGCAGATCCGCCTGACCATATCAGACATTTTTAACGCACACAGTTCTCGATAGCAGGACTTACAGGTGCAAAATTCTAAGGCAAAGGATTGTCTCAACTCCTTGGTGTCTCAAGGAACTAAAACACTGCCTAGCACAGGTGCACCATCAACCTTATCATGAAATAAACCTTTATATTTTGTTCACCTTTGATTGCGTAAATGATTTGATAAACACATTGGACTAAAGACCTTTGAGATCTCTTCACGGGATCCTATCTGGTGGACCCCCAGATCTGCCAACACAGAGAAGGCATCTGTAAACATGTGCAGGACAGAGGCCTGACAAAACTGTCTCTCTCAGCCTCAAAGTGGCCTGGCAGTCACAGGAATGCCATGTGGGGTCTGACATGTACTATGAGTCAAGCCTTCGGCTTGAGGCACCCCACTGCACTGCAAAACCAAGTTGTGTCTAACAAAGAAGAATCAGCCAGCCTGCTCTCCATAATGAAAGCTTCTCCCCAGGGCCTGCAAACTTGGGTGGTTAACTCCTCCCTCCTCAGTCCCAGTCCCAAGGTACTAGACCACTTGCACCTGCAGCATCAGTTAGCAAGCGAGCAGAAGACAGAAGAGGACAGGCCAGAAGATAAGTACCCCCTGAAGACCAGGAGAGAGGCCCTCTAGGTCCCACATAGAGTTATGTCAGACTGGAACACCCCATTTACAGGAGACTAGAAAACCCTGCCTCACCCTCACTTGGGGCCAGTCTGCACTCAGGCGCTCATTAAAACAGCATGTTGCTCCACACAACCTCGAGTTGTTTGCTGATGCTCTCAGAATTCGAACTAATAATAGAGCCTTGCACCTAATATCCCAGGTAGTAATCCAAGAGTGATATCTGCATGACACCCCTCCTCCTCCACCCTCCACATCCAAGCGATCACCAAGGAGACAAGCCGGCCAGGCAAGGTAGCTCACGCCTGTAAGCCCAGTACTTTAGGAGGCTGAGACGTGTGGATCGCCTGAGGTCAGGAGTTCGAGACTGGTCTGACCAATATTGTATAACCCTGTCTCTACTAGAAATTCCAAAATTAGCCAGGCATGGTGGCAGGCGCCTGTAATCCCAGCTACTTGGGAGGCTGAGACAGGAGAATCGCTTGAACCTGGGAGGCAGAGGATGCAGTGAGCCAAAATCACACCATTTCTCTCCAGCCTGGGCAACAGAGCAAGACTGCCTCAAAAAAAAAAAAAGAAAAGAATTAGTATAGTTTTGTCGCCAGAAAAGGGGACTTGTCCCAGATCCCAACAATGGGTTTTTGGATCTCACACAAAATGGAATTTATGGAGAGTTGCAGAGTCTAGTGACGTTAAGAGAGTTTATTAGCCACCACTAATTCCTGAGCAGGGAGTCCTCAGGAAGAAAGAGGAGGAATGCACCTGTTTCAAAAAAAAAAAAAATTTTTTTTTTGAGACCCAGTTTTACTCTTGTCACAATGACATGATCTCGGCTCACTAAAACCTCTGCTTCCTGGGTTTAAGGATTCTCCTGCCTCAACCTCCCAAGTAGCTGGGATTATAGGTGTGTACCACCATGCCGGGCTAGTTCTATTTCTTTTCCATTTTAATTTATTTTAATTAATTATTTATTTTATTCAATCCCCATAGAGACTGCCAAAAATTGCCAATGTCGACTATATTTCCACTCCTCATGGCAGGGTATTGGAAAAACGTTTCTATCAGCAATTATCACGCCTTGGATAAACCTCTTTGGCTATGATACTTCCACTGTGCAAAGCTATTTTTTTGGTATTTTTAGTAGTGACTGGGTTTCAGCATGCTGGTGTCCAACTCCTGGCCTCAAGTGATCCACCCTCCTCAGCCTCCAAAACTACTGGAATTACATGTGTGATTATTTGATTAACTAATCACACATGTAATCCCAGTACATTAATGTACAAACAGGATTACTTAATGTTTGTTTATATAGGTTATTAAGAACAGTGTTATCTCCTATAAAGGCCTGTGATCAGTTGTGTCAGGCTATTAGTATTGTTACTTTTCTATGTTACTATGATTTTAACAATAATTATCAATGTACTCTTATCTTTAAAGTAAAACTTATTTTTAAATTAAGAATGCTTTTTACTTAAAGTACTGGTATATTTTTTTAAGTTTTGGGTCTTTATTTAGTTAATAACTTGTTCCTGCAACCATAAATATTTTATAACCAAAGGTGCTCAACCCCTAAATATATAATCCAACAAATTTAACGTGTGTGTGTGTGTGAGAGAGAGAGAGAGGAGAGAGAGAGAGAGAGAGAGAGAGAGAGAGAGAGAGAGAGAGAGAGAGAGAGACAGGGTCTCACTCTGTTTCCCAGGCTGGAGTGCAGTGGTGTGATCATGGCTAGCTCACTGCAGCCTCAAAGGCAAACATGGTGAATCGGGATGCATTGAGACAGAGAAAAACGTGTCTTTCATATCTAAGAATGTAAACCAGCTTGCATTCCCTGAGACTTGGGTAAGGATTGGGAACAACAGGATGTATGGAGACCACAGCTGCATTTCTTAATGCTCTAAGGTTTCTGACAAATCTGTACTTGCCATTAGGCTTTTGATCTGGTAACATGGGAGTATTGTAAGGAGACTCTCATCGCCTTAATAAATCATATGGCAAGAATTTGTCGATAATTGGTTGAATTTCCTCTCATGCTCCCTTCCCTAAAGTGTATTGTGTCTTTCTAGGGCAAGGAGCATGAGGCTCAAGTTGGATTTGAATGGTCTTTAGTGTGTTTCCCAGAGCCTCCAGGCCCAAACCTCAGGATTTACTTGAGACACCTCAGTTGGCAAATATGACAGCTCATCCTTCACTTTTTTTTCCCCAAGGGGTCAGGAACAAAGGTAGCATTTTATCTGCTTTATGATCTGTGAAGGTCACCATGGCTTGGTCACCTGAGTCAATAAGTCTCTACCCAGTAAGAGGTCAGGCATTCAGACACTATTAAAAACTGTCTGAATAAGAAACCCAGAGGCTCTGGAGAACAACTTAGAAAATAAGAAGAGCAGTGTTTTGGGGCTTGTTCGTCATGAGAAGACAGGAGCCCACAGTATTAAATCAGGACAGAGTCATCTGCTCCCATATCTCCTACCTGCCACTTCAAGAGTCACCTGAGGCTCCTCCATCTCCTGATGGCTAATAGTCCCATGGGAGTGGAGGCAGGAAGAGTCAGGTCTTTCCACTTTTGTGTCTGCTGGGCTCTGATAATGGCTCCCTTGAAAGCACAGCGCATTCCCTTCGGTGGCGGCCAACCTTCTTACAGAAGGCGAACTGACTTATACTCGAGGCACAGTGGTCCCGAAACCCAGATAGGAACTTTCACACTTCCTCTGTGAGGGCCAGGAGTTAAGAAGCTGGCTCTGAAGTGGTGGAGGGTGCAAGGCTGTAGCTAGAAGCTGTGCCTTTTGGGAGGTTAGCTTTCTTTTGTCTCTGCTCTATGTCTCTGATTGAAAACTGCAAAAGCCAAGTCTAAAAGCTGATTCATGGGAGTCTGGAGGCCTAAGGCTGTTTTTCATGGCTTCCTGCAGATATCAAAGCAGACTGGGTTATAAAATGAACTCCTAGCAATGCCTGTCCATTCTTGTAGTCAGGGGCAGTGTTAGTTTATTTCTTCAAAGTCTAAATTATCAACCCTTGTAATAAGGCTAGGTTTTCATCTTTTTCCTAGTATTTCTGACTTTATGAAAATTAAAAAGCTTGATCACAATTTGTTTTCTCTTTCAAGGAGTCAAATAATCATAATTTTTTCTTTATATATCCTACTTTCTTCCTAGTTTATTTCTCTTTTCCAGGTCCTAATTCTTTTTCAGGTCCTGGTCAGGCACTACTGTGCCTCCTACTTGATAGATGTCATGTCCCTGGCTGCAGGCTGCCACCCTATTAGCATGTGCTTTAGCCATTCCCATAATATGCTGCTTCTCTACAATGCAGCAGGTAGACATAAAGATATCCAAATCTTGCCTGGTCAAATTATACATCAAGGTTAGCCTCTTTATTTGTCTGTGAACTTGCCTGAATCCTCTGAAATCTGTTCAAGTTTTTCCTTGCATATGGCTAATTCAGACATAGAAAAAGTACATATATAGTGTCCCCACCATTATCTGCCACTTCCCAGAGAGGGCAAAGATTCAACTTTGCCAGGTGATAAGAGGCCACACTGCAAGTTGTTCTGGTGAGGCTTGGGTCTTTCGAGAGTGGGTATGTATGTAAGATAGGACTCCAAAGGCAGGAAGAAGAAGATGACTGGACACTAGATAGCCCTGGAAAACTAGAGGTAATTAATAACACATCGCACACCTCACCAGAACTGGAAGGAATCGGGCTGTGTTATCATAGGGTGCTTGGACTTGCAGAAGAAAGTTCAGCCTCAGCTAAGAAAATTCTAATATTAAGAGGCACTTGCATTAAAGAGTACTCAATTATGTCCAGTCCGTTTTGTTTTTTCCTCCATCAAACATATACAAGCCTATTTTTCTTTTTTCATCCTAAGCATCAGAGCAGCCTGTTTATAATGTATTTCCTCCCATTTAGTTTATCTTCTATAAAACAACTTAAGCTGCAAAAAAAAAGGAGTCAGATCAGACAAGAGAAAAAAGGAAAGGTGCAATTTATATATTGTAATTTATTAGTCCATTTTCACACTGCTATGACAAAACTAACAAAGCTCTTTCAGAGAAAAAGTAACATGCTGGGTTTAGAGAGTAGGGTCCAGCTGTCCTTTACCAGCCATCAAAGATGACCTTCTGGTTAAGAAATGAGAGAAAACAGATAAGAAAAAGTCTCAGGCGGGGCGCGGTGGCTCAGGCCTGTAATCCCAGCACTTTGGGAGGCCGAGGCAGGTGGATCACGAGGTCAAGAGATTGAGACCATCCTGGTCAACATGGTAAAACCCCGTCTCTACTAAAAATACAAAAAATTAGCTGGGCGTGGTGGCGCATGACTGTAATCCCAGCTACTCAGGAGGCTGAGGCAGGAGAATTGCCTGAACCCAGGAGGCGGAGGTTGCGGTAAGCCGAGATCGCACCGTTGCACTCCAGCCTGGGTAAAAAGAGAGAAACTCTTTCTCAAAAAAAGAAAAAGAAAAAGTCTCATGTTCCCCATCTTGAGGCTGTTTGCAGGGGGTTGTCATAAAAGAGGCTGTTGCTGAAGAGGCATGTCTGATTTTTGTCAGGTGGGGCTGTTAAATACATTTCAACTTCTAATCATAATGATGGAGAGGTTATTGCTGATCTTTTCTGATAATTGAGGTACAAAGACACTAGGTTCCAAGAAATCTCTTTTTTCCAGTGTCACTTGGACCAGTGGCAAATTAAACAAGCAGTCAGCTGAAGTCAGAAAATCACTGAGGAAAGTAAAAGCTAAACTGTTTGAGGTCTGCTTCCTGTGGTAGCCTCCAGGCTGCTACAAAACAGAGGCAGTGAGCAGAAAGGTGACAAGATGCAGAGCACTCAGGTGATGGACAGGGAGCACAAGGTGGGCAGTCCAAAAAGAGAAAGTGGCAAACATCTTCTTTAGCAAAATCCATTCTTCTCAATATACCCCAGGGCCTCTAACCCTGTGGGCTTGGCCTCCAATCTGAGTATGACACCCCCTGACCTCTGACTTTTGGGACTCTCTCACCCTAACATTATACTGTAGGGCCTCTCACTTAAGTGATAGTGGATAATCATTCTTACTCACCAGAATGGCTTCCCAACTCTAAAAGATGCCCAACTTACCCGATGTCAGCTGACTGATTCTGTGTAGATTGTTTTCCTTGTAGTGGGGGTCTTATCTTGGTGCCCCTTCATGGTGTTACTAAAAGATCTTGTTAGAAAAGAGGGTCCTGATACAGACCACAAAGGAGGATTCTTAGATCTTGTGCAGAAAAGAATTTGAGGTAAGTCAGAGAGCAAAGTGAAAAAAGCAAAGTTATTAGAAATGACTCCATTAGAGTTGGGCATCCTCAGAAAACAAAAGCAGGAGTGCACTGTCTTCTTTTAGTGTCTCTACTTATAAGTAACTATAAAGAGAAAGAGTTATAATTAAATTTGGGAAGTGCAGATATACTCACTGAAGGCAGGGGCTATTGGTTTTAACAATGACCATTAAACCTTTGACCTAAGCTAGCTTATTAATATTATTGTTAAGAAAAAATTTTGCACTCTTAGTACATTTATATGCTTTTCAGGCTTGGTGGAAGATGTCTTGTATAGCCATAAATATTCTGCAGTTATAATTGGTGGCCAGCTAAAATATGTGGCTATTTTCAAACCATTAAGTACTAACCTTTTAGATGCCTTGTTAGTGCCTCACTACTCATATTAAGATAATCTAGTCATGTTTATTAAACTAGAGGCTTGGTAACCGTGAGTTCCTCTAACATAACAAGTCTACTCCTCAATGAGAAAATGTATTTCTCAGGAATTTTGTGCATTTCATTTGATGGAATTTGGTGTGTTTACCAAAATGGTAGAAAACAGTGAAATTAGTCCTCAAAGATTCCTCAGAATTAGATATAAAGTAAACAAAATGATTATAGATAATATGCAAGTTGATACAGTTGATATTCAAAAGGAATTTTGTTTGAAACACAATGAGGTTTTTATTTTCATTTATTATTATTATTATTATTGAGACAGAATCTTGCTCTGTTGTGAGGCTGGTATCAAACCCCTAAACAAAAGTGATCTGTCCACTTTGGCCTCTCAAATTGCTGGGATTACAGGCATGAGCCACTGCTCCCAGCCACAAAGAGGTTTTTA